CGTGCCCTGAAGTTTTTGCTCTGGAAACTGGGCCACCCTGTAATTATTCAGGAAATACCACATTATGTCTATTTGCATTTCTACTGTTGGTTTGGGATATTTGTAAAGTTACAGGTAAATCGTGTACTGTATGTGAGATCCCTATATCACTAATTTGATTGCTTATTTTAGGCAGAACATCCTAATTTCCATTTGATTAAAATCATAACCGGAATATAATTGTTAGTAATAAATAAATTAAAAATGTGCCGGTATTTTAATAGTTTTGAGACCCGCAGTTCTTAAAACTTTATAAAAATGCTTGACGTTTCATGTTAGTTATCACTAAAAAATTCCTTGTACTGGAAAATAATTATAAAGATCGCTTGAAGTTGACTAATACTAACATACCTTTGGCAGCAATTCAAAGTATTTCAGACTAAGTAATTATTTATTATTAATAATACTAATCCAAAATAATTGTTCGAGAATAAATCTTGTTTTATGACAATGACAAACTGAAAATAACAGTCAGTGGGCAAAGGTCACAGAATATCCTGGACACTGGAATAGGGGGGATGTTCTGTGGATAGACAAAATACTTAAAACTTCTATTGGACACACTGAAATTTAGTTACTTTTACAATATTACGTTACCTCGCCAAATGACACATGCGCGATAACCTACAATTTGGCTGCAGCCATTTATGTTGATCGCATTTTCGAAGACTAGAAACGATATAATTCGCAGGTAATTTGACACAATTTAGGATTAAAATGTGCGAAAATCCTGCGGGCTCAGAGTAATTAGTCGTCTCTTGGACTTGAACGGTTATCTTTGGGCATCTTTAAATTATTTATACAAAGTTTGCCACCTAGACTGGCCTGGGGCCTTCCTGACAATCAATCTTAACATAAATAATAGGAACACGTGAGAAAACATATCGTTACGAACTTTCAATGCTTGTGTAGAAATAATGGTTTAGTTATACTTACAGTGATTGTCTATAAATAGTTGCCTCCATTTTTAGAATCTTCACTTCCTAGTACCAGATTTTAGCCTAAGCACTGATTGAATTACATGAGAAAAGATCGATTTAGTCTAATATATTTTCAATTGCAGTATGACTGACTCCATGAACTTTGGTCCAGATTGGATCCGCAACCTTTCTTCGGAAGGCAGCACTGGAGGAGGAACCAGTGGTGGCTCCAGATATCAGTTAGCTGATTTTCGGTAAGCAACCCGCCATCTAACCAGCTTTAATCCATATATGAAAAATATTAATATTCATATACCAGCAGAACTCAGTGTGCGTGCTCGTGTGCTTACTTTCATTCATCAAAAATGTTCAAGTAAAACAATAGTACAAAAGTATGTTTCTTATGATATAAGTGTACTACTACATGTGACAATCCTCAAAACCAAATATTACATTTTTATCCTGTTGCTTTTGTTCTTGTTTGTCTTTTATTATCCGTGCAGCTCTTGCAACGCCTGGGTGTCCCTCGTTGGTACGGCAAATGCAAGGACACGTTCTTCATGGTCTGACCCTTTACCGGTCATCTTCTAACCGAACAAATTTGCATATTATTTAAAGTTGTGGCCCAATTGATTGTAAACAAGTTAAACCAAAATGTTCAAAGTGTTATCAGCTGCCCACAACTTTTTTCGTGTGAACAACCATAAGATGATTTAAATATGAGTACAAAACCCGTCCTTGAAGAAATATGTAAAAAAAATGATAAAATACTGGATGCAGTATAAACGATATCTGAATACAATTGATTTAAGAATTATTTTTTGTATTTTTCTGAAGCTGCGAAACTAATATAATTTCGCTTTGGACAACACAGCGGAAATATTGAATGAATAATATCCGTTTACAAGCATTAGTACACTTGCTTTAATTATATTTAGTTTAACACTTTTAATAATTAAACACACATTTAAATAAGATAGTCGTATTGTAGATTGCATAGCAGATACCTAAGTAATCTACGAATCATATTAAAATTATTTCTGTATTAGGGATTATTCCAGTATTATCCCGTATTAGGGAAAGTGTTCCAGACGTGTAACCTGAAACGCGTTATTTCGCCAATTAACCGGTTGTTTTTGGAACCGTCTCATAATTCCGAAAAAGTCGTTCGCAACAGCACAGAACCGATGCGACACCGTTGAGCCATCTATCCAGTTGCAGCAGTTTCAGTAACCATTTGTTAACGGAAAATATTTTTAGTTGCGCATTGCGTTGATGATTATGTTTATCACCTTTCGTCTAAGAATTACTGTTCAGTTCTCCAGGAACCATAATTGGTCAGATCAGTGAGATACTGTTAATGTGGATTATTTAATGCTGTTGTTGACTTAATAACACGCGTAAATAATTGAAATAAGTTGAATTGAAAAGTTCAGGTAAAACATAGACAAGAAGATTATTCAATTTTTCAAGATTTTGAATAACGTGTTTCGTAACAAAAAAACAGGTATATTAGTACTTCTGTTCCATGAGCGAGAGAGAGTATTTTCCAAAGCGGGTGGTATCATAAACGAGCGAAGAACTTAAAAGCATATGCAAAAAAAATATTCTTAAATGTCAATTCGTTTTTAAATTAAAATTAGCTTTTTAAACATTTTCGGATGCATATTATTTTTAGTTTACGCATGCTAAGAATTAGATTTTTTAAATAAACTAAATCATTATTTACCATCATATTCTCCAAATTCTCTAATACTCCAAATACATGCCAAGGCGTAAAGTAGCAACAACGCTACACATTGAAACTGATGATGGTGGAAAACACCGAAACGTTTTTTTAATTGATAAATAGACAATAAATGACTGAAGAACCCAGGATTTGATTTTAATTTGGAATTGAAACACAGTCAGGAAAGTACGTACAATTTCTCGTTTTAATCCGAATTGTTTCGCTTAGAGACCGTTTCGTATTCCAGCCCCCTCTGATATCAATCGTCAATCTTTCACAGATCTAGTTATACGAAGTATTCTTTTTTTTTATTGTTTCAATGTAGATTTCCCGAGTTTAACTACCGATGGGGGCGCTGCAAAACGTAAACATTACTCGACCTGGTTAACTGCAAAAATCACGAATACATTGATAATACCTTCCCGACATATTTTAAGAGTTCGGTAATCTGCATATTTTAACGTTTGTTTGTAAGTCCATAACATAAAATAATACTTACACAGTTTTCAATATATTTCTCTTTGTTTAAAGGCTTGCAAAAGCTGAGTAGAACACATCACAATGACATCTAATCAAAATAAGTGTCAACTGTTACTAGTTTAAGTGTAGTTACACTCACACAGTAGGTCAGTGGCCGCTTGGTCTTGTGATTTACAAAAAAATTTTAAAGATAATTTTAACTAATTTGATGTTCCTTAAAAATATAATTTAAGTCGATTTTTGAAAAAGTTTTAACTTTGTTTCTTTTCAAGGATTTTTATTTTTCCTCTTTTCACTTGGGTTAAATGGGTTGGGGAAAAAATATTGTTTATATTGAAAAAAATATTAACCTCCATTTTGTAAACAAACGGGTTGTCAACATATTCTACGTTTAAAGCGAAAAGTGACCAAGTCCAAAATTGCCGCATTTGTGTTTGTTGGCCAAGTAATTTAAAAAAATAACATTTGTCTTCAAAAACTGACGAAGTCTCCCAAGGCCACACAAACAGATGCACTAAAATATGTTTTTCATGATCAAATTTCCAAAAGGATTCTGATATAATTTTTGGCTCGCTTTAAAAGTGCATTTACCAAAAATTTATATTTTAGACTTGGTCGGTTTTAGCTTTAAGCCGGCGATATATTTGTTTACTTTCACATTAACTGCTTATTTCTGAATGAATATGGTCTTAATTAGTGTATAAAAATTGGGAATCAGCATTTAATTAACCTGTATGAATATGTTGAACACAAAAATAAGGCTTAAATCAGCAAAATATAATTTCTTCAGAAAACCTAATCCAACGATTGCCCTAATGCAATAAGAAACTAATAAAACTTAAACATTACTTTGAATCATTTATCAGCTAAATTTCTTTCTTTCGTATCTAATAATTTCAAATGAAAGCAAATTGCACTAACTTAATCATATTCAATCCATCTACCAGTAATTATACACGAATGATTTGCGTTCTTTAGTATTAATTAAAGCTTTTACAAACTTGAAAAAAAAGTTCTCGGAATTTGGTATTTTGCATGTAAACGAAATCTTTTTCGTTAAAAGTAACAGGCTTCAGCCTAGTTGGTCTCTATAACTTAAATGGTTTCTAGTTTTAGTTAACGTCGATTGCGTTCCTTTCAGCAACAGGTGCAAATTTGCAAAATTGCCCGGTGCATTATCCGGAGCTCAATCGTTGAGTTGAGAACTTAAACTATGTTTTTTCATATTTTATTTTATCTATATATTTTATTTTATCTATATGTTTTACTTTAATAAGGTGTAAGGCTCACTATTTAAGCTATGTAAAAAAACTTGCTCCTCTCTTTGCCATCTCTCGCAATTTCGCCCGACTCTCTAACTATGCATCTAACTGTTATTTCCTTATTGTAATATTTTCTTGTCCTAAATAATTATGCAGCAATTGTAATTAGCGCTGCAGAAAACATTCCTATTGCTTTATTGGCAAACTTATATTGAAAACTGATAGTTTGATCATTGCAAGAAGAGCAATGCCCTTTATACAACTTCATGAAGAACAACATTGTTGTTCTAAAATGGTAAGGAATTCATTGAAATAAGAAAACATTGCGAAAAAAATTGAGTTCCAAAATGTAGCTTAGAAGATTCTAAGATTTCTTATAGCCAAGTTTCAACCATTGTTTGCAGACCTGTACAATTAATAATTTTTGCGTTCTTAAGCCACCGTCGATAGGCACCGGAACCTATTTTAATATTTAATTATTCAAACGATAACCACAAAAGCCGTAATTATCCATTTCATACCGAAAGCAGTATTAGTAAAGTATGTACTTGTTGTATTTGCCCCGAAACGTTTGATAAAACGTTGATAATAACAATTAGGAGAAAAATTTCTGGTGGTATAAAATCACAATGCCTTTAGGTATGCTACATGTATTTTTTACATTCATTGCAGGTACGGGCGGGAGGAGATGTTAGCTCTGTTTGACCGGAACATAAAACCTCCTGCTTACCTTGTCAATTTTAAACGTCTGTATTCAGAGACAACCTTGCCACCACTGGCTTTATTGCCACCAACTGATGAGGAAGTAAGTAGCGGTTTATTATAAAGTACGATTTTATTTGGTATGCCAAATTTTTCTTAATTTCAGAGAGGAAATTGGCAGGGTGGTCGTCCATCGACATTGGGTGGCCCTCCTCGTGGCAGAGGCGGCTCTATGGAACGGGGAGGACGTCCAGGCCGTGGAAGAGGAGGTTACCAGTCGTATGGGAACCGGTCTCAATATGAAAGTGGTTGGGGAAATGGGGAGCCCTCGGATTGGAGTCCGAGAAAGGACTACCCTTCACGGCCTGTCTCAATGGATAATTGGCGACGCGCCAGAAACCATGAGGAAGATGATGGATGGAGAATGTCAACTAGTGGAAGAGGGATGAATGATAAGTGGGGTAAGAAGTACAATTAATGATGGTCAAGTCGGATCCGGATCATGAGAACGGGTTCTCGGAAAGATTCGGAATCTGTACTCGAGTCTGGGGTCAACGAAGCAATAACAGAACCGGAGAACCAGAGCAATAGCGCTTCATGGCGAATCTATTAACAAATTAATATAAAATGCTTTACTTGTTGCAGTCGCGCCAAACTTAAAAAGTTAATTTCTTTTTATCAAAATTTTTACAACTTCATTATGCAGGTCGTAAGTGTTTTCGTGCTTTGTTTTTTTTTTAATTTGTCTTCGTTCATCTAAACATACACCTATTTGTCTGAGAAATTTCCAAAACCCATTGATCAATACATTTTGCTGCGTTTCTCTTTTCTTTTTAAATAGAGGAAAAATGCAAATCAGATTTGGACATAATTAATTGCTTCGAACAAAATACTGCTTTGTATATTGTACTGTAAGTTTTAATAGACATAATTATAAAAAGTTACGGATAATTAAAATAGGTAAAAAAGTTACTTCCAATAAATAAATCGACGAACGTAAATAGGCAATAAGGGAAAAGCGTCGCTTATGGGAACCCCTTTGGTTTAAAGCTTGTTTAACTTTTATTTTGATTATTTCCACCGTACAAGTGCACACCATTTATTGCAAATATGTATTTTGTTATAATTAAGTATCAAATTTCTGAAAGCAAAAAATGCTAAGCGTAACTCAAAGCGCAGCGTAGTGGTACCCATGCCTAAATTCGATTGATTTAACTGAGCTTCTTGCTTCTGTTATTGTCCGGCAAAACCACTATTTGATAGTATTAAATAATTATTACCAGGCCGGCAATCAAGTTGGAGGGGTGAGGGTGAAGATGAAAGAACCGGCCCTCCAGAAAGAGGCGGTAGAACTGGTTGGCAAGAGGTTACCCGCGGTGGTACAACCTCGAGAAAGTCTTGGGATGAGGATCACTTGCCGGAATGGGTAAATGAGCATCCATTGGAAAGTGGTGGCTCATTCGACGATCGAGGAGCTTTCCATGGTTCTGATGATGAACAGGTGAACTAGAGCTAGATGTTCAGAGCAGCATTTCAATTTTATTTATGCCAATTTTCTTAGGAGGGACGATTAGGTGGGCCGAAACGGGACGGCCTGCAAAAGTCAACATCCCAGCAACACATTTCTCATAAATCCCATCCGCCGTTGCTTACCTCGAAGTCTACGATGTCCCTAGTGAAGGACATTGAAGTGGAACCTGATAATGAGGTAATTAATCTTATTTTATACTAAATTCTAGTGACGTTGCCTGTGTTTATTTTGTTGTAACTTGCGAATATTGATTAAGTCTCAAATTATTCTCTCAATTATACTCAAAGGGAGTGATATTTTCAGCCATTTCTATATGTTTAGTGCATGTAGTATTTCTTAGCGCCTAGAGAAAGTGACACAAACGTATGCTTGTTTCATAATCTGTATGCATAGATCCGCAGTGTTTTTTTTATTAACGGGTAATACAATTATTTTTCAGCAAATTCATCAGGACGGTCGGTATTTACGACCAAATCCAAATACGAACCCTTTTTTGAATATGATGATTGAGCAAGTAAGATTAGGTTCTTCATTATTTGGTCGTTGGTGAATAGTTTTACGGAGTAAAGTAACAATTTTCCGCACAAATAACACTGCATGCGGCAATGTAATAAAAATTGTTTATGATCATTTTCTTAAAAAAAATGGTTCTTATTGAAACTGCTCCAAACAATTTAGTTATCCGGGTTATTTTAGGATAATGGCCTACATAGTAATTCAGAAAGCTCATCTAAGGAACCGCCTACGGGAAATAAAGAAAGGAAATTGTCTGTTCCTGAGGCAATGGATCAGGCGCCGAAGGAAATTGCCAATAATCGAGATCGGGCTAAATCTGAGGGACCGCAAAAAAGTTGTGATGTTCAATTCAAGCATCAGTTGGAAGAAAAGTAAGCATCGTGAGGACATGGATATAAAACTAAATCAAATCTTCATTCCTCGATTTGGCCACATATGCGTAAACTTTAAGCGCATTCGTTCCGTGTTCATTTTTTTTCAAGCAGATTTCAACTGAGAGATCGCGTAGCAGTTTCGTAACCGAAACAAAAACCATTTTCTCGTCGTGCATGTGCTTCAATCAATTTAAGCGATCAACTGAAATATCCTGAAAATTATATCTATATTATGTCTTACTTATTACGTCTCTTAGGGTGAATTTCACAAATATTTTTTACAAAAAACGAGTTTCTAACTACTTGTCGCTCACCGCAAAAAAACATGTATGTTGTATCTTGTATGTTACTCCATATTGGCCTAACTTTAAATTAAATTCAATTATTGATTCTCTGAATTAAATTAGGTACAAGACTGTTGCTTTAACATCTAATTAAAATTTCTTCGGTTTTTACCTCGCTAGTCTTGTCTTATACTTTCCATATTTCTTCTTAGTGACCGAGCTAATTTTTCAACTGCTTGCTGAAGTCAAAATTCGAGTCTTCTGTGATTGGCATACAATTTCTCATTTATTTCGATATGATTTTTGACTTTGCTTTTCCACTCCCGTCTAGAGTTAAAGAAAATGAATTTGAAAAACTCCAAGAAGACTTTGTGTCCAAATTGGTGGTTGATGAAGAACCGCCTAAACAGAATAGTCAGCAGCAAAATAATATCGACATGTCGAACTTGGCACCATCACAAAATTTGCCCGTTCCAGGCCAAGATAAGTGGTTTTACCAGGATCCGCAAGTGTGTAGAAATAATTTAAATTAAAATAAAACTTTCTCAAATCGAAAAATATTTTTTTAGGGACAGATGCAAGGACCTTTTACAAACATTGAAATGTCTGAATGGTTTATGGCGGGGTATTTTGGTCACGATCTGAAAGTTCGACGCCAGTGTGACGAACGATTCTTTCTACTCGGCGAGCTAATTGCTATGTGTAACTCTAATCCATTCCAGACAAAGTAAGTCGTTAACATGGTCGGTGTGCAGGATTCGATTTTGAAATGTTTTTAGCGTACAATTTCCGGTGTTGAAAAATGACATATCAAAAATGCCTGATCACGACCTACAATTCCAGTACCTGCCCCAAATTGAAGCCTACAAACAAGCACAGGCCCGTGTTTTGGCTGACCCGTGGAGTGCCATCGCCGTTCAACAACAGGAACTGGCTGCTCAAAGACTGATTATGCAACAGCAGGTACATAACACAGCATAATTCACCTTATAAATATACTATTAATAACATGTTTGCTTTCAGCAAGTTCAACAAGACATTCAGTATTTACAGCGACAACCGCCGCCGTCGAACCCTTTTATGCATATGATAAGTCAAATGCAGCAGGTAGGATTATGTTCCTGATTTTTTATGAAATGAACGTTACACGGCCAAATTTGCCTTAACTTTGAAACTTGATCAATTCTGACTGCTATTTGAGCTAAGCTATTTGATTTCTGTTTGAAGTGTTGTCTAGTCGAATTCTTTTTCTGCCGGTTCGTATTTTTACAAAAATTAGTGTCAGAGAAAGTTTCTACAGGGTAGCAAATGCGAACTTTAAGAAAGTGGCATGCTCCCAATTGAGCAAAAGAATGGTTTTTTGGATTTCAATATCAAAGACATAAAGATAGACCTTTTTTTCTGTATTTTTTTATTTACAGGGTGATGTCAAAAAATTTATTTTTTGGTGTTGCAATGATAATATTTTTCCTCTTGAACTGGTTTTGAAAATCTAGAACTCAGGTGGAAGCTAAACTTGAAGCTAGGAAAATGATCTGAACATAATTCAATTTTAGGAAATAATCCGAAAATACAGGGTTGCATTGAAAGTGAGCCAAATCTGAATTTGCAGTGTACTAAAAATCATTGTCATTGAACTGGCTTGCTATAAGCACTCTGTCACCAGTCTCAAAAGTTTTGCGAATTAAGCTGAGATTACTTTGCAATTCAAACATTTCTATGTTAGGCATATGCCGTCATGTTTGGAACATTCTTATTTCAGAATTATTAATATATACTCACCATTATAAATTTACTTACGATAAATTGAACCAACCGTATATCGCCGCGAAGGTTTAATTGAATAAGAAAAGAGTGAGGAGGTGGTTACGAAAATGTTTTAGTCGACAGTGGAAGATAGTTACCCAATTTCAATTCAATATTTTGAAGGGCCTTCTCTAGCACTTATCTGCCGCATCTCTTCGGGGCATTCCCTCCACTAGGTTACGCAAAAACCCTTGGCGAATAGCGTCCCATTCTTGTATCACATTTACCTTTTTTTGGCTTCCACTTCTTCTTCCTTTTGATACGATTATGACCTGTTTTTTCCAGCTTTTTATTCGACGTATTGTGACGATGAAGTCCAGGAGTCATCCCATCTTTTTGGGGGTCTTCCTAAGGGCCTGGTCGTATGCGGCCTTGGCGCGTCTATCTTTTCCCATCCTGTCGACACGCTCTCTCCACTCTCTTCTTCTTGCTCGTGACCACTAACAACGTCCCGTATCCAATCGCGTCGCTCGCGGATCTCATTGCTTCGCTGTCCATCCCTCAGTGTGACGCCTGCGATCGCTCGTAGGGCCCTCATTTCGGTCTTTCGGCGTTTCGTCTGCTCTCGTTTCCGTTGCGTGGGTGAGGGTGGGCTGCTGTTCTGTAGATCCTGGTCTTGCTGGTTATGGACATGTGTTTGTTTTTTCAGATGGTATTATGTAGAGAGCCAAGATACTCTAACTGCTTTGTGTACTTCCGTTTTCACCTGGTCATATGTATTTCGGCTGCTTCAAGCTATTACCCTCATGTTTTCAAAGCTTATCACTTGTTCGATTGACTGGTTGTTTAGTGCCAGCTTGCATCGCATCGGTTCCTTGCTTATGGTCATAGATTTGATTTTCGGTATCGAGGTGCTCATTTTAAATTTCATTGCGGCCTAACTTAGCTCGATTAGCATTCGTTGCAGGTTGTCCTCATTTTCTGCTATGAAAACCGCATCGTCATAGCACAATATTTTTAATTCGGTTCGTCCCATTCTGTAACCTCGTCTTACACTTTTCACCCGGTTTATGAACAGGTCCATTACGAGGTTCAAGAGTATCGGACTCAGGCTATCTCCTTGCCTGATACCTGTCGATATCGGCAGTTCTTCTGGTTGAGAGGTGCCTGACTGTATTCTTGTACTGTTGTTGGTATTGATTTGTGTGTTTTATTACCTGGATTATGTTGTTGGCTCCTCGTTCTTGCAGAATTTTTGGTACATCCTTTAGTTGCACTCTATCAAATGCTTGAGTTAGGTCACCAATGCACAGGAACGCGGGTTTGTTAAATTCTGTGGACTTTTCGATTATTTGTCGCAGTATGAATACAGCGTCGATTGTTAATCTATTCTGCCGAAATGCATTGCATAATGCCTTGTGGTTTTTCGCTGATGCTGTCCTTGATAGATGTTGGGTTATTATTTTGATGAGCAGGCTTATGCCTCGATAGTTCCTTGGGTATTTCTTGCATCCCTTGTTATAGATATGTATTGTAATGCTAGATTTCCATTCCTGGGGTACTCCTGTGGACATAATCAGACTGTAAAGGTGTGATAGTCTGATTTCAGAAAAATGTAAAAAGAACAATATCGGTCGGTGATTCGATTCATGTTTTTGAAAGGAAAATCACGAAGAGAAATCAAAGAGCTCTTGAATGCCGTGGACCATGACTCTACTCGTTCGATGGCGACTGTCAAAAATTGGTTTCACGAGTTTCAACATTGTCGCACTTTGGTTTTTGATAAAGCTCGCTCGGGTGTCTCGAAAAGAGTTACCACGGAGGATAATAAAAAAACACGATCTCGTACCTCCGATTGAAGGTGTGTAAACAAATAGCTGAGGCAGTATGCATCTCGAAAGACCGAAAATGTCCACCATTTTCTGGGATTCACAAGGTGTGATCTACATCGATTACCTGTATAAAGAAAAAGCGATCTCAGCGCTCTACCATACTGAATTATTGGACCGATTCGGGGTCGAATTGCTGAAAAAACGGCCCCATTTGGCGAAGAAAAAAGTACTCTTCCACCATGACAACACACCGGCTCACACCTCTGTCGTAGCAAGAGCCAAATTGGTCGAATTGTGCTACGAACTGCTGCCCCATCCACCGTATTCTCCAGATTTGGCCCCGTGCGACTTCTTTTTGTTTGGCAAAAGTCACTCGCCGGGCAGAAGTTTCAGTCGAATGAGAAGGTCATCGTCACCACGGAGGCCTGCACTGCAGACCTCAAAAAAACGTATTTTCCCGACGGGTTAAAGAAGTGAGAACATCGCTTGGTCAAGTGTATCAAATTAAAAGGAGACTGTGTTGAGAAATAAATCGCCACTTATCCGCCCTCGTTGTCGATGTTGTATGGCCCATAGGTCCGCTTATTCTTCGGTGTTGTACAGGCTCTTGAGGTGGTTTGTCCATTCGTCAGCGGTAATATTGACTGCGATTTGTTTGTCAATTGGTTTCTTCTGCGATATAATGAGGTTCCATGTTCTCCGTTGTCTTCCGTACAGGTCATGTTGAATGTCGGGAAGAACTTTGCCCAACGTTATTTTTATTTGTGTTATTTTAACATTGGCTGTGTTTCTCTGGTGACATATTGCTGACGTTGTTTATCTGTTTTGTTGTTGAGGTACTTGATGTAGGCTGCTCTTTTCTCTGCAGCCAGGGTTTTTATTTCTGGATTGTCATCCACATTGGTCATGATTAACGGATTGTTTGAAAGTACACTTAACTTTAATTCAAAGTCTGCCATAATACCAAATTTCTGGGGCAATTCCGATTGGGTCACTTTTAATGCAACCCTGTAGTGCCTTGTGTCGACTATCTTCATCATCATAGAATTTGAAAATAGGCTCAAGAGAAAAATTATCACTGCAAGACCTTAAAGTTGATTTTGAAGCACCAATTTTTGAACACACTGGTAGAAAAAGAATTGGACTAGACAACAGCTGGAAAAGAAGCCAAATCGCTTGAAGCAATCAGCATTTATCCAGTTCCAAAGTTAGGAAAAATTTGGCCGTGTAACGTTCATTTTGCTGAGCAGTTTAGGTTCTACGTCATTAACAATTCACTTGTTCAGTGATTTTTATTTACTGAAAAAAATTATTTATTCTCTAATTTTAGGCAAATAAATTGCCACCAACTGGTCTGATGGATAAACATCCTCCAAACATACCAGGCGGTGCAATTAATCCACATTTACACATGCATATGTCCAATTTCTTGTCAATGCAGAGCCGATTACCTGGTGGAGTGCCCAGCCAATTAACCGGTGGTTTGCCTGCAGGCATTCCAGGTCAATTGGGCCCAAATAATATGGCTGCAAATTTATCTGCTCTACCTAGAGCAAATATGGGTTCGTGGCCCATTCAAATGCTCTCCCGTCTAAAACTAATCGAAATCACTTACAGTTCCAGCTGGAATGCCTTTACAAGGCGGGTTATCGAGTGGTATGGGTTTAAATGTCCCGACAGCTTCGGCAGTGGAACACAATGTGAATCAAAATAGTGATCCTATCACCAAGTTATTGAAACAGCTGCATCAAGAGACGCAACAGCAACAGCATTTGGTACTCTAATTGAGATACTTACATCAATTTGTCACTATTTAATATGGTCCTACAATTGTCCAGGTTGAGTCCCTCTGGCAACAAAATCAATTTGGTGTACCCAATTCTAACCCTACGCCGCAACAGTGGCCTGGAGCAGCTCAACCTGAAATGCCATTATCTATGTGGGATGTTCAACAACCATCTCAAACATCTAGTCCTCCTGAAGTAATTATTTTACGTTAGTAACGGATTAACTTAAATTGTACAATCATTTCTCGAAACTAGAAATCACCTGCTGACTTGACTCAAATGAAAGAAAATGGGGAGTTGCCTATAGTGGAGAAGGAAAAACCAAAAAAGACTGACAAGGCTAAAGAAAATCGGCAAAAGGATGATGAGAAAGAATTGAAAAAGAAAAAGAAAGCTGAAGAGGAACAACAGAAGAAGGTACTTGAAAATTATGTTTTTCATGTAACGTTTTTCATGTATGCATTCATTTTTAAGGAGGCTGAAGAAAAGCGAAAACAGGAGCAGAGGAAGATAGAGATTGAAAGGAAAGCGGAGGCGGAAAAGAAAAAGAAGGAAGAGGAAAAAATAAAAAAAGAATTAGAAAAAGCAAAGAAAGAAGCCGAAGATAAGCGTTTAAAGGAACTGGAAGAGAAAAGGCGGTTGAAGGGTAAAAACTCACCCAAACTGCTCTATTTATATACATAGTGCATTGTTTTCCCTTGCAGAACAAAGAAAATTGGAGGAAGAAGCCAAGAAAAGGACAGATGAAGAACGAAGGAAGCTAGAAGAAGACCGGATGCAGCGTGAAAAGGAACAGAGGGAAAGAGAGGAGCGGCAACGGGTTGAAGAGCGGCGACAAGAACAAATTTCTATGGCAAAAGCAGCGCCATGGTCTCAAGCCAATTCTACATTTGGCATGAGTTTGACCGAAATTCAGAAGGCTGAAAAGGAAAGAAAAGCCCAAGACGCGGTGTTACAAGCTCAGAAAGCTCAGATGGTTAGCACAGACAATTCTCATGTAACATATTTGTTTATCGGACTTTCGTTAATTGCAGGAAAGAGAATTGCAGCTTCAGCAACAGCAACAACAACTTGAAAAGTCAGGTGGCATTCAATTAGGTTGGGCTAAAAAAGCTATGGAACCTAGGAAAGTGAAGTCATTGGCCGAAATTCAAGCTGAAGAGCAAGAGAGACTTATTAAGGTAAGTTTTGATTGGCAATATGTTTTGCAATTAAATCCACATTTGCAAGTTTAATAGAAAAATCGTAAAACTAGTTATACATACCGCAAAGTCAGCTCGAAATATAAATTATCGACTACTTTTGAAGACCTCGATCTCATTTTTGTGTAAAGTATAAAAACATGTATGATTACGACAATATAAACTGCGTCGCAAATTCCCTAACTTTTCACTGAATATTTTCTCGGTCGGTTGTCCGATCTGAATAATTTTTTTATCGAGTCACAGCCCTATTCTTGAACAAAATTCACGTTATAATATAAGCAGAAAAATTAAATAAACGTTGTATAGGGTGATTTAATACTGTCATGTTTTCTTGGTCAAATATGAAATCCTTGTAGATCTCATTTGAAAAAATTGCAAACATATGTAGGCAATTCCAAGCTTATTTTTACAATGGCGTTCCGATCAAAATTAATTAATTAATAAATTAATCAAAACCTGCTCACAAGTTTCATCCTCGAGCTGACAAAGTCGAAACACCGTCGTCTTTTAAAAAAACTAAACTTTTGCAAAACTAAGTACTATTTTTTGATTTTTCAACTTCCGCTCCATTGGTCAAGCTTAAGGTGAAGCATTAAACTTCGATCAATTGATTTTGAGGATTTGTTAAATGACTTTGCCAGAGAAAAGTCAACAAAAAAAATTATTGTATAAAAATTTGTAAATCACTATTAAGTATTAATATTATTAAGTTTTTATGCTTATATCGCATTTAATTAACTAATTTTGAACATAACGACAATTATACAAATAAACTTGAAATTGCCTACATACATATGTTACCAATTTTTCGCCTCGGGGTGAATGGAAACAAAGCCATAACTTTGAATTAAGAAACGGGATGCAGACAAAAGGTGTATTTATATATATACCAGTACCACCGTAGATAAAGATAAGCGGACAATGTACAGTAGATGAAAGATCTTGCGTTTCTACAGAGGCGGATTGACGGAGGAGCTAGCAGGGTACCCCCAGCCCCAAAATTGAGAGGACCCCGCGAACTCGAATAAAAAATACATTATTGCGATTAAGAGGATAAAATACATGTATTGATCAACTATGTTAGATTAAAGGTTATTCGCATTGACGAGGTTAAGCATTACTAGGTAAGCAAGACTTTGCCGGAGCAAAACCAAGAAAAAATATTTTTAACTGTATAATAGTTTGAAGTTTTTAATTCCTTTTTCCAATGTAACATGGTTCCGGACCTCGAAAAGCTGCTTTATGACCTGAAAAAATTGCTACCATATGTAGGCAATTCCAAGTTTATTTTTACATTGGCGTTCTGATCAAAATTAATTAATTACATGCGATATAAACATAAAAAACCTTAATCATTATTTTTGATTGAAAATAATAAAAAACTGTTACTTTTCGCACCGAAACCATGATCATAAAAAACACAGCAAATCCGCCTTTCCACTTTCACTCCATTGCATTTCAGTTTAGGGAAATTACTGTTAGGCACAAGGTAACTAAAATCTTGTTGGTACTACTAAAGTCTGGTTCTAAAAGCGTTCGTGGAACGAAAGATCGGTTCTGAACTGCGCCTACCCCCTAATTCGGTTCGTTATCGGTTTCGAACCGGTCCCGAATCGCTGCCGCGAATAAAGCTAATATTCACAGTCAATATAATTAATATGTAATGTGTGTGAATGTAGTATTCACAGGAAATATTAACGATATGCGTTTAATTATGCATTTAATTTGCGGCATAGTGTATACAAAATTTAGCTTGCAAATGGCCATTTTTGACCGAAATTCGTTAAAACACTCGTTATAACAATCTCAAGAATGCAAGAATGCTTTTTATGGTATAGTTAGTTTTACTTAATTGTATCCCTCATTGTCCAGGAAGCTGCGGAGGCTCGACTAAAAAAAGAAAAAGAAACGCGCGATGCTGTGCCGATTCAGCAAGTGAACTCTATTTGGAGTGGTCAAAGTCTCCCATGGGCCAATTCTTCATCTACCCAATCGCAATGGTCTTCCGCTACTAATATAAGCGGATTTTGGGATGAGCCTACCCAGAAACCGCAACCAAGCAAACCGTCCACAGTGTCAAAAAGTAGCTCTATGTCGACCATTAATTCTAAACAGGTATTCATTATTATATGGTTTATTTATCAACCCCTTCGTTTCAATTTTTCAAATCAAACTTTACGTAATATAATAAACACGGTAGGAATTAATAAAATTCGGAGAATTCGGAAATAAAAAAATCAAGAGCGGGACATTTTCTGAAGTTGAACAGAAAAACCAGTATGCATTTAGGAATTCAAGGTTTTCATAAAATAGCGCATTTTTTAGTTCTAACAGTTTTTTAGTTTCCTTCATCTGGCTGTTTTGATTAGTTTAATGCATTTGTAATTTTGCAAGTCCAATTAAATTTATGGATTTTCATTATACAGGTTCAACCTGCAAAGCAGTCACAAAAAAGCAAGTCAAAGAAAGATGATGATGCACCAGCTAATAGTAAAAAAAATAGTAATAGTAATGGCCGCGATGATGACTTCACAACATGGTGTTATAAAGCCTTATCAAATATTGACACCAGCGTTGATAGTAAGTTGGGTCTAGCTGCAGGAGTGAATTAAATCTTGGCAGGACGTTGCTAAAAGCCATAATGTATATTTCATGTTTATTTCAGTCCCTACTTTTGTATCATTTTTACGAGATATTGAATCAGCTTTTGAAGTCAGGGAGTATTGTAAAGAGTACCTGGGCGAAGGCAACGCGACGCAGCAATTCACCAATAACTTTTTAGAAAAACGACGTTCCTTTAAACCAAAAAATGCTCACAAGGATGACATGTGTTCACCCGCACCTGCTATAACACCGTCTTTACACAATACTAGTGAATTTCAGGAGGTGAAGGTAAGGTAACGTCATTATTGCCTCTAGAACTTCATGCACTTTCACAATTCCATCGATTACGTGCTGTGATTCAGCGACGTACTCCAAACGTGTAATATTGAATCAAATTTTGATAACTTGAGTTGGAATCGGTGATTAATTAATTTTTATCGTTTCAGGGGAAAAACAAGAAAACCAAAAAATCAAAAATGCTTAAAGTAGACTCCCGTATTCTTGGTTTCAACGTTACATCGGCGTCTGACAGAATCAACGTAGGTGATCGTGACTACGGTGATAATTCTTAAATTTGCTACTAAACGATAGTTTACTGTTGAGAATGTACCTTTACTATTATATATATTATATATGATGATTTATAAGATCGTTTTCTAGTTTAACATATTGCTTATTTATGTGTAATACAAATTTTTGTTTTAAACTTTCAATGTTTAAATACTAATTTTTCATTGTATTATTTATATTACTTGACTTTTAACATTATATCGATATTCAAAATTTCGCCAAATTCATCCAGTTAAATACATAAATCAATCAATACGACTAGTAAATGATAGGTACTAATACAAATATTTGATTTTTGTCACATTTTAAACATATTTAGGCAAAATTACATCATCTGTAACTGTGCGGGGTTGCAAGTCTCCCACTGGTGCCTCCCGAGGTGGTTAATAGGGGAACGCCCCTCAAATATGGTACCGAGGAAGTCAAATATTCGGTGCGGACCAAAACTAGCATAGCCGCGTCTCACCCAGAATGGGCGGCTGGAATATACACTAGACAACACGCAGGGCAAGGTGGTGTATAATAGTGCGAAAACATCCGAAATGAAATTAAATGTTGAAACACAAAACACTACTCCAGGCGAGTAGGGCGACTAGCTCGGAATCTCACACTGACTCTCGCAAGGATTTGATGAAACACGGAAAAAAGGATAAATTCTTCATTACGATGTACGCACCATGAGATCAGAAGAACACCTACAAGAACGGGAACATGAACTAGAAAATAAATAATGGAATTGTTGAAAAAATCGATGATTGGAATAGACGAGACACGCTTACCAGAAGAAAAGATAACCACACTACAACGCGGCATTTACTATTCGAGAAGAATACTGATAATAACTATCAACCAAAAGTATTAAATCAAAACTCACCAAGTTCAGGACAACAGTAGATAGACCAATATAGTTATCCACTGGCGCCCCAGAGAAGCAAGAAGAGGACCTGTGTTTTATAAGAGGTAAGTATAGATAAGGTAAGATACAGGTGTTGATACAGGCTGGCTATAAAAAAGCGCAAAGCCGGCCCAAGTAAATGAAGAAATCGGAGTGAATTCATTAGAAAATAAAGCGTTTGAACTACGGGGTGAATGACTTGGAAATACTCTTAAAAAACTAATTACATTTGATAAGTCGTTGTCATCAACTTAATGCTAAAAGGTAATTCTTCTAAGATCAGTCCAAAAAACTTTGAATTGTCAAGGTGCAAATAGCGATTCTTGGGTATAAGAAACAACCATTTTTACAGCACATTCTAGTAGATTAACGGCCTTATATTCTTCTAAGAAATGTTTATAATTCAAAAGCTGTTGCTCTCGTTTTTTAATTTCTTTATCTACAACTGTTATATAGTGACCATGACTTTCAAATGTTATAATGATGTAGGTAAAATATTGTTTCGTAACTAGAAGGATATGACTATTATTAACGCACGTATGTGAAGATTTTCACATATTACAGTCGTGTAATCACCCAAGTGCGTTAATAAAATAATATCCTACGTGTTATAACTAACTATTACTTTTACCATGTCTTGTAATGACTATTTTGAAAACATGCAACGGAATTAAAAAAGTTTTGAGGGGCATTTATCAGTTTTCTACATAAAAACTCAAGAAATAACTTAGCAAGATTTAATAACGTTTAAAATACATATTTAGACAAAAAGGCATTTATCAACGGTTTTGAGTCCAGACTATTATTTTCCACTACACACCCTATTACTTTGTGAATATTCACTAGGCTTCCACCAGTTAAATAAGAAAACTTTCTTACGCCATTTTGGTTCCAATTCAGCAGTAGCCGTTTACTTATAAAGTCTTCGTAAAAAGAAACATATCCAACTTCAATATAAGTCTGTAGATGGTTCGAAAACATTTGAATGGAAATTCTTAAACTTTCCGCGATATTTAGTTTATTTGCCGGCAGTAAAGCTACCCTGAAATGATAACCTAGAGGCTTGTATAATGATAAGAGGTCCTCTAAAACGTGCTCGAAGACTTCCGAGTTATTAGTTGCACGGAATAAGCCAATTTCGGATGATTGATTTAAGTTGAATAGATTTTGAATAGAGCTTGGGTCCACAGTTTGATATTTTCGACCCACGCAAAATGCTTTGATCGGGAAATGTGTGGGTTGCAAAAAATGTTTTGTAAAATATGCCATAAACGAATAGAAAGAGCTGCCCCCAACAAGATGTAATCTGTTTAGGCCCTCCTTATTTACGCAATGAATGTCTTCTAAAGTTAGTACATCTGACCCTGCGAATGGATTACCACCACAGCCTTCGACAACTACACTTTTAACTAGATCGGAATTTGAAAATTGCAGATAATTTAACTTGACCAATTCCCCATTGAAATAGTTTTGTAGTGAACGTTCAAATAAGGCTGCATCTGATGTTAAATAACAACTGAAATTATTCAGAAATTTAAAATAACCTTTTTGATTGCCAAGTGTTAGATGATTTTCTGTTTTGCTGTCGTTTATTTCTAGGTATCTATAAACTTCCAACTCTTCATTTTCAGGCGTTTTTGGATGTAGAACATTAGGCAAGTTTAGCACTTGAAGGGCAGCCGCTTCTTCAACACTATATCTCATGGTGCGTAAATGTTTTAGATCGTCTTTAACTATTTTGAGATGTAGCTTTAATTTGTCAAGTTCCTTGCTTGATGGGAAATCATTTTCCTGTTTTATTAAGTAAGACATTCGTTGGCTTATGCCTGTTCTGGTTTGCTCCAGAGCTTTTTTCTTATGCTCAATGTCTTGGAAAAAGTTCCATTGTTCTTCAACAGCATTTATATCAATTGGTAATTGGCGCGCTTTGATATTTTCAATTAAGTTTTCCTTATGCTCTATCTGTTTCTCGAAATCGATAACTGGAGTTAGAACCACGAAGTTTGTCATTGCTTTATCTCCAGTTATATATAATGCCGATGAAAAATGCCTCACAGCCTTAGAAATTATTTTATACTTATTTAACATGATGGATCAGTTTTCTGTTTTTTCCCCGAGTCCTCGCCTAGGGGTTGCTGAGTTGCAATCTTCCTCTTTAGAGGTGGTTTCCAACTACCCTGTCCAGCAGCTCGCTCTGAATCTTCAATAGTGTAGGGCTCCTCTTCCAAGGCCTTCATCCGCCTTTTATGCACTTTGGTGGTGAAATGTTCCTTCAATGCTTGACTGGTAATGAAGTATCTGGCACAGTGCAAGCAATAGAACTGAGCATTACCGGGCTTATCGAAATCAACTTCCTGATTCAGAAGCACCTTGGCTTTGTCCTCTTTCAGGTCAGCATTAATCTGGAATCAGCACAGAAACACAATAAATCACCCGAGGGTCATATTGAGTGAAATGTTCCACGAAAGCAGACATGCAAAACAAATGGGGGTACCTCATCTAAATCTTTAACTCGTCGTTTGGTTTTATATTTTTTGTTTAGATTAGTATCACCGGAACTTTGCTTTTTTTTTCGTGAGTATACCATTGTCACTTGGCAAATTCGAAGATGAATGATTTAAAGGAATAAATGTGTGATGCAAACGAAAACAAGTATTAAAAAAGATAACCTTAAAACTGGGGTTTGCGGGCTGGCACGTGGCGGCGGTCCAGTGTTGCCATTGTAGGTATAATTTTATCCATGTATCATAATTTCGAAGCAAAGTGAAAGTGTTTTTTTGATGAGTTGAAATTTTGGAATTAAAATGAAAAATTAAATAACTCATAAATTAAATGCTGATAGAATTTAGTGTGGCAGGTTTGGTTCTAACGATTAGTTGGAGAAATTTACTAAAGTTTGCTCGGTTTTGAGCGAAAGTGAGAGTATTATAGAAGTAAAAAGGGTTTTGAGCGGGGTTTCTGCATTTTTTGGCATTGTAGTAGGGGCTATTATCTTGGTATGTAAATAGACTAAGGATTTTATAAGAAAATTTTATTTCTGAAATGGAGGTGAAGTTGACATTCAAATGCCTGTCAAAATATACTAATTTAAAACCCGAAAATATACCAAATGGGCCTCTTTTAGACTCTATAAGCTGCCATATTGCTGGACTAGATCGATTTATTCATTTATAACCCTTGGGCTAGTTTCACTGTCAATTGGTTGCAATATTCGAGAAAAAAAATGCAAGTGGGAAAACTGAGTAAATTGGATGAGAATTGCTCGGTTTACTCCAATACGTTGACAATTAATATTTCAATGAATCTCGGTGTTCATCTAGATGCAATTGATTAAAATTTGATATAAAAAATGGAATTTGGCTTACAATGGCAACGGGGCTTCGCCTGTCTGCCAATGTGAATTGTGGCGGCATCTTCAGTGTAAAAACACAATAGTCCGGTTTAATTTGATTGCCATGGATGGCCAATAGCACGCCGAATGGCCATTATGATCTAAGAGCCTTTTACCTGAAAATTGTGCTTTAGCCGAGTTCATAGCGTTGATTGCGGCGTGTGGAAGCTTGTTGAGTATTTGTTGAGCGCCAAGGCACGTATGAAGGGGAATTGAAAATTCAAACTTTTCATGAGGCATGCGTGTAGATGGCGCAACCGCAAAGCATATCCTACTCCTACTCAATAGTCAAAGTTCTCGTTTGAACTTCCAAGTTTGTCTTGTCAAATGTTTGTGTATATTAAATCCGACTTATCGGCCAGTAACAATTAGATTTAAAAGGAAATTTGTGGCCTGGTGAAGTGGAGATTGTGCGAAGTACAGTTTGTTCTGTTTTTTAGGTGTAACATATTAGTACTGTAAGCCGGAACTCAAACTAGTTTATTCAGTTCGTGTGTTCTCATAACGGAGACCGGCAGCCATGTTGTAAAGAATCAAGGCAGGCATCATGGGTTAATGCAAGATAAATTAATGCTTGAAATTCGGGAAAACGGGTGTTGGGAATGAACGGAAAGCGCTACGTTTAGTCGAGAAATCGTGTTTTTTCGAAGACCGATAACGTGAGGCGTCTAGTGCAGCGCTCGCGATGTATCTGCGCACGAAGTGAGTGCAACGTCGTGATAGTTAGCGCAGGGAGTCGACTGCCTGGTAAATGACTGCGAGCTCGAGTATCCCTAAATGTGGGAGGTGAATTGAAAGAATTCGGGATACCGCTTTCCTAAAGTCTCGATGCAACCAGTAATGAACCCCGACATGTAATTTCCCCAACGCCTTGCATGTAAACAAGCTCTCGTACTCGAATTTTCTTTGGTCGCGATGGCTGAAATCCTCGGAAAAGACGAGGCCACGTACTCTAAAGAAAAAGCCGGTTTTCTTCGCGATTTGCGGCATTTTCACGAAGTGAGAGGGTAAGTAACAGTCAGGCACTTTCACCATTCAACTAAATATCCTCTGTTGGACGTCAAATGATGGCTTGTTCTCGTCCATTGCAGCACACCGTTCAAACGATGCCCTACCCTTGGTGGAAAAGAAATCGACCTGTATCTTTTGTATTCCTTGGTCACTGCCGAAGGAGGATGGGTTAAGGTACGTTTCTAATTTTATTAAATTTTCCTCATTTAACGTCCTCAAAGTGAAACCACGCGTCCTTGAAAGTCACTCAACTGTCGTTATTATTGTGGTCGCTAAAATTACATGCCCTGGCAACATTTTCACCAATTAGTCTTTATTTTATAAATAAATCCTTCCTGTAATATTTGTAGGAAATTTCCATACATACAACAAAGCAATTTTAGCCTCAAGGCTGTCAGCAATATCATACATAGTAATTTTTCCTTTGTGTCAAATCACTCATCTGCCAGCAAAACTGCCTCACTATTTTAATTATGCCCTTCCACTAAACTGCCAGGCTACTTTTGCATGCAATCAACGAGTAAACGGAGTTAGAAATTTAAAGAGTGGTTATGTTAAAATTAGTGTACACACTCACACAATCCTCCGTGATTCAGTATTTTCTTATTTGCAGTTAATGTTTGACGGTATAGCAAAACATTTCCGAGAGTATCACAAGGAAAAATTAGCAATCAAACAAATCACAATAATCAAAATAAAGCTAAATTACAAGTAACGTTACGTTCGTCATTGTGTCGGACAGTCCGGCATTGATAAAGTCTGTCCGTGATTAAGATTTGCCCCTCAAAACGTCCGTATTTCACATATTTATCGCTTATCTCACCATATAATAACTAGACCAAGACTTAGAGAGATTATTGGACACACATTGTGTGTGTTAGATTGTGGATTGTGCATTTTTTGTTCACATTTTTAAAGTTAATCAGAAGTGGGTGTGTTTACTTTATGTTTAGAATCATCATAATTAGTTCTGTTGCTATTAAAACATTGGTTCACCATTGAGAAGAAAAATTAAGGTCTTTGTAGTAAAACGTATAGCATTCGTAATAGAAATCCGAATAGCGAGTAGGTCATATAAGCAAAATACAATAGAGGCATTAAATAAATATTAATAAAAAAATTAATTAATAAACTAACCTTTAAATACAAATTTTATCGATTTTGAACCTTAGATCTGAATGCCAATCTGACCTAACAGAGTCAGTCGTTCAATGTTTACGGGGGTTTCTTGTAGACAATAATGTCCACCGAACCATTTGATTTTCTTTTTCAAATACCTATATTGGCTTTTGAAGATGCACTTTCAAGTTTCCTGTTATGCAACGTTTAAACTTCGTTTCAATCGTTATTAAGAATCCTACTCGCATAGATTTAAACATTTCAAATAAAATATTGCAAAATTTGCTTAAATTTTGCCTAAATTTCGATATGGAAAAATTATTTTTTAACTGCCGCCTAGGCATCAAAGCAGATTTGCATGGGATCGATATGCAGGTTTATCAACTCTTTCATTCATTATTTTCAGCTGATTATACTAGTGGCGCATTTATCAGTATCAGTAAAATAATCCTTTTTGATCTATTTAGCTTTTTATTTTACTTGTTGATTTACGCACGAAACAACATATATTTACATGTGATATGCGAAATGCGTCATATGTAGGTGCGATCAAATATATTGTTGCAATTTTTTTGATTTTGAGAATTAAGTTCAAAATATATTTTGTCTGTATCCCCAGACAACACTTTAGAAGTGTGTTCGAGGAGTACCTAATGTCTAAATTAATTTAGACAAAAAGAAAAAAGTTTGAACTCGTCAACTTTTATTTGCAAATGCAATTTTTTTAATACAAAATTTATTTATACTGGTTGATTCAAAAATAAGTTTCCGAGAATCAACTTATTTTTTAACTGGGAGCACCGGCTAAAAAGCCGAAACAACAATTTCAATGTTGAATTTTCCGATTTATTTGAAAAAAAAAGATTGTTATCATTGTTATCAAAGTGAATGTTCAAAATGTGCTATTTACGGTTTAACAAATCCAAGGCGATCAATACTCTTCGTGTTATTTCGGTGAATAATTTTCTAACCTCGTAAATTCTTCGAGTCCTCTTAGTTTAGGTATAGGACATACATGTGATCGTCATGTTAATAATCCTTCTTACCTACTTTCTGCAAACTGGCGCCCCATCCACCATTGTCTATTCATTAATACTCAAACAGCACACACTACACTTGAACACACAATGAATATCCAGACGAAGTTGAAAATAAATCTGGATTACTAAATGGCACTAAATTGTTACATTTATCCCGACGACCAATTTCGTCCGTTGCCCATATTAGACTGAACTAAATGTTCAGCTTTCCCCAAAAAACTCATGTGATATTAAGGTGTTTATCTCGTTAAAAACGCACCGAGCTACAGAACTTAATGATATAATAGTTTGCTTGCTGGCCCTTCGCACGACTCATTGCGTTTATATGCTGTTCGATTTCCGTTTTTTTGTTATAGACAATTTTCTAGAAATTTCCAGTTTATGATCCAACTGGTTTGCATATTTAGCGTCAGCAAAGTTGCGTGTATCATACATGTGATCTTATACTGCCTAAATTATACTTAGAATTCAATGGATAATTCTAAATTGAAATTAAAATAATGTGCTCAATTTGATAAAGATAAGTTGATGGTCGTAATTTATTTTTGAATCACCCTGTATAAATAACTTTACAATTTAAAAATGCATTTACACATAAAAAAGACCGAGAATTGTTTTCGAAGAACTGGCCGGTAAATTTGAAATTAATTTTGACATTACTTCTGAGACTTTAAAGAAATGTAGTAAGTAATAAGATACACACCTCCATGAAAACTATATGTTAATGTCAGTTTCGGATCATACATTTAATTTACTGTTGTACTTGTATTAGCTAGCCAATATTCAGTTCATCTTCACTCTCGGGACTATCACTCGTCTTGTTAATGTCACCGCTTGTATTACTTTCGCCTGAACTATTGTCACTCCTTACAAAAACTACACCATCTTTAGTTCCATCTATAGCATTACTTATTACGCATTTTTAAATAGCTTTATAATCGTCTCTTCTTTCACCGTTTCTCATAAAGTTTTCACCCAGGTACAAACTTTCAATTCGATTGATTTATTGGGCTCTTCTGGCATACAAATTTTCAATGGTTTATTGACAGAGACATCTAAGGAATTATTGCTGTTTCTATATTAATTTCTTTTAGAAGCTTCTTGGTTGATAAACCAACTGTTGTATGGAATCTGAATTTATAGCGGGTAACAAGAAATTTCGTCTTTTAATAATGTTTTACTCTTGAAGATCTTGAAGATGGTAATTTTCAAGAGTAAAACTTGGGATTGATGCTTTTAGAATCTTTGTAGTCCGATTTGAAGGAACCTCAAAAGTTAGGCGTCTAATCCATATATGCAGTTTGATTAGTGTCGACATTTTCTTCTCGCTGATGATCTATTCTATAATTAGTTTAATAAGCGCGTAAGCTACTCTCAAGGACCAACAGTTGCCTATCTTTTCGCTTAAAAAATTACCCGTTTTGTGGAAACAAACAGATAATCTAATGCGTCGATACTTACTCAATTTTTTGCTTGGGCTTCGAATTCTTGCTATTTTCCGTGCCAAAAAATAATGGCTTTACTCAGAAGTTTTTTTCCATTTCTCCATTTACAAACGATTTTCTTTGTTGGTGGTCAACCAAAATGTTCATAAAAATGAAATCGCGTTATATGAAATTCGTTTTTGATTTACGGTCATTTTTTCAAATTTTCAATACACATTTTACAGAATTATAAAAGTAATTCAAATCATCGTATCGTACAAATGCGCATACGATTACAGGCTGGTAATCATTGCAATTCACGCCACATCTGTAAGAATCTGTACCGTTTCGTACGATTACAGCAAAAGTGCAATTCTGCGAAGTCTGTAATATCTTGTAGCTTAGTGGAAACCCATAAGGTTTGTGTGTGAATGATTTACGGGTGAATGAGAACAGTTTATAAAAGCTTATGATTTATTAAATTTCTTTTGTGGCTAGAAAACCCAATTTTGTTAATTGATTTAAAAACCAGTGTTTGTAGAAAAACAATTAAAAGTTTTTTACAAACTTCTTTTTGGGTATTTCGCCTCAAAAATTTTTGTCTTTAAAAAAGACAGAATTTCCTCACGTCTTTTATTACAGATTGATAAA